CCCAATTTTGCTCTTCCGCAGACACATCGACGGCGCAAACTCCAAAGCCGATAAAGAAAGCATTTGCAGCGATTACCTCTGATAATTTCCAGCGACTACAACGGGCACAATTTGCACAGACTGCCAGACATCATGCTTGCCGAAGCGCCAGCTGCTTCGTCGCCTTTGCTCAAGATTGCTGCTACTCTAGCCTTGCTAGGCTTGGCCAGCAACGCTATCGCAAAATCTTGCGTTTTGGTTCCTGCCTAAGTAATTCAATTCATCATTCATAAGTGTTTTGGCTGACATTCTTTTACGTAACTTGGAAAGCTGTACTTCGAACAGCAAAATTGCCACAAGATTTGAGAGCAACGCCTGCCGGAGGAACTGCACGCCCGATGTTATTGAGTGTGGAAGCATGTTGACATCTGTGGCAAGCGCAATTTCCCTTTGTCAGGGGCTAGAAGCCTGCTGCTTTAAAGTTGCAATTGAAGTGTCTGGCAGCCGCCATCCAAACGCCTCGCATGTTGCCAGCCACGAAGCCGGCTGCTCGCATTTGCAAATCTGCTTGGTGCTGCTACTACAAATCTAGAAGCTGCCTGCCAGCCAGCTTCCAGGTTGACTTGCAGGCTGCAAAGCTGAGCCTGCCAGCAGCTGCGACTGGCAGCTGCTAGGCTTGCTTTCAAGTAACAGATGCCGGGCTGGCAGCTTCCAAACTGACACAATTGCTCTGCTGGCAGCTTCCAATCTTGCAAGCCTGGCAGGTGCCACTGTGTGGCGTGGCAGCCGCCAGTTTCCAGACATGGCAGCTTCCAGCAGCTACCAAGCCCAAGCTGGGTCTCCACATAGTAGCTATCAGACTGGCGTTTTCCAACGCTCATGCTTGCCATCAGCTTGGAAACTGTCAGCCTGTCAGCCTCGAACTTGGAGCTCCCGCACACACCGAGTGAAAGCCTAGCTAGCCAACAAGTCTGCAGGCTTGCAGCTTGGGCTGCCACGCGCGCTTCCTTCAGACTGCCAAGCCAGCTGAGGTTGGCAGGGCCGCTACAATTGGCTGACAGCTGCCGAATCACCAGGGTGCGGACAGCAAAGCCGCAGCCCGATTCAAGTGTCGTGCGGGCGCCTAACCAGAGCACGCTTGACCGCAAGGCAATCGTCAGCAAAATCGACCCTAAAGTGGCCGCGCAGTGCGGAACCCTGCCTTTTCTCGCCGCTTTACGAAAAATGGGAAAAACTAACACACGCCAAGAAAAAAGCGCTCGTTTTAAAAAAGCGCTCGTTTGACCTGTTCGCGCAAAAAAGCGTACCACTCCCCCAAAAAGTGTACCAAACAAGGGGTCGAGCACTTTTTTCTGTACCACTGGGTGGTCCAGGAATAGAGGGTTTTAGAATTTCCATTTGACTTCGGTGATTGACCGGATTTTCCGGCGCCCAAAATTTACGTAAATTTGAAATTTAGGTGGATTTGTTCAATTTAGGTCATCCGCAGACATAGGGCACCAGTCGTACCCTTGCACCGTACCAATCGTACCCTTGTACCGTACCAGCCGTACCCTTGCGCCGTACCAGTCGTACCCTTGCACCGTACCAGTCGTATCCTTGCACCGTACTAGTCGTACCCTCGCACTGTACCAGTCGTACCCTTGTACCGTACCAGTCGTACCCTTGTACCGTACCAGTCGTACCCTTGCACCGTGCCAGTCGTACCCTTGTACCGTACCAGTCGTACCCTTGTACCGTACCAGTCGTACCCTTGTACCGTACCACCAAAACGTTTCATCGTCCCAGTGTTTGCACAGGCCTCCAGAGCATGACTCTTAAATTTAGCTACTTATGGTTCCCTCTTTCTTTGCGCAGGGACATTATGGTTCGCCTCTGTCTTTGCCACGGGATGGCGGTTCGTCTCTGTCTCTTTTTCCCGACATGATGGTTCGCTTCTGTCTCTGCCACAGGGGTGGCGGAGACAGGCGGCTGTGGCTTTGCCCAACGTTATGGTCCCCCCCTCCCATTTGTCCTTGAGCCGCTCTGAGGGCAATCAATCGATGTGAGCCTTTTGAAGGACCGCTGACGCTGCCCACTGGATTTTGGAAAACAGGGTCGCGAGTTGCAAGTCGCCGTTGGTTGCTTGCAGATGCTCATTGCCTGGCATTTGGTTTGCATGGTTCAGATTGCGCCCCGGAGTACGTTGCCGCGTGCGCGAGGGAGCGCCTGGAGCAGGAGCAGGGCTTGCTGGCGGAGCTGCCGCAGCGCCAGGCAGCTTGGACAACAGCGTCCATGGAGCCGCGTGCTTCTCGGACCAGCCAGCGGCTCGTGCTCAAGGCAAAGGTGAGCAAACCTTGCAACGCGCATGGTCAAAACGCACCACCCCTGGCTCGCCGCTGATGCCTTGTGCACGTCGCGCGGTCTTGGGCTGGCACGGGCTCTAGTGCTAGCACCAAGCTGCACATGAGGCGAGTGTCCCGCCCCGGGCCTTGTCAAGGGTGGAGCATTTGCGGACAGCCAGGTTGTTGCTGTTGTTGTTGTTGTTGTTGTTGTTGTTGTTGTTGTTGTTGTTGTTGTTGTTGTTGTTGTTGCTGCTGTTGTTGTTGTTGTTGTTGTTGTTGTTGTTGTTGTTGTTGTTGTGGTGGTGGTGGTGGTGGTGGTGGTGGTGGTTATGGTTATGGTTATGGTTATGGTTATGGTTATTGTTCTTGTTCTTGTTCTTGCTGCTTGCTGCTGGCTGCTTGCTGCTGCTGCTGCTGCAGCTGCTGCTGCTGCTGCTGTTGTTGTTGTTGTCGTCGTCGTCGTCGTGGTTGTTGTTGTTGTTGTTTGTTTGTTTGTTTGTTTGTTTGTTTGTTTGTTTGGTTGGTTGGTTGGTTGGTTGTTTGGTTGTTTGTTTGGTTGGTTGGTTGGTTGTTTGTTGTTTGTTGTTTGTTGTTTGTTGTTTGTTGTTTTTTGTTTGTCGTTTGTCGTTTGTCGTTGTTGTTTGTTGTTTGTTGTTTGTTTGTTTGTTTGTTTGTTTGTTTGTTTGTTTGTTGTTGTTGTTTGTTGTTTGTTTGTTTGTTTGTTTGTTTGTTTGTTTGTTTGTTTGATTGAGTTTGTTTGTGTGTTTGTTTGTTTGTTTGTTTGTTTGATTGATAGTTTGTTTGTTTGTTTGTTTGTTTGATTGATTGTTTGTTTGTTTGTTTGTTTGTTTGTTTGTTTGTTTGTTTGATTGATTGATTGTTTGTTTGTTTGTTTGTTTGTTTGTTTGTTTGTTTGTTTGTTTGTTTGTTTGTTTGTTTGTTTGTTTGTTTGTTTGTTTGTTTGTTTGTTTGTTTGTTTGTTTGTTTGTTTGTTTGTTTGTTTGTTTGTTTGTTTGTTTTTGTTGTTGTTGTTTTTGTTGTTGTTGTTGCTGTTGCTGTTGCTGTTGCTGTTGCTGTTGCTGTTGCCGTTGTCGTTGTTGCTGCTGCTGCTGTTGCTGTTGCTGGTGCTGTTGCTGCTGTGGTTGTCGTTGTCGTTGTCGTTGTTGCTGCTGCTGCTGCTGTTGCTGTTGCTGCTGTTTCTTTTTTGGCGGCAAGTGTGGCCAACCGACGTGTGGAGGGATTTGTTCATCAGCACAGGCCAACATGCGCCGCCTGTTTCCTCGGGTGTGGCACGCCTTAGGGCAACGCGGAGGGCGAACTCAGCTGGCCACACATAAAAATCGAGCGCCGAGCTATGGCCGCATCACTCCGCGCCGAGCTGTGGCACAACAAATAACGAGTGAATCGTCATTCCTTGTCTTCGCGCCGCGGGGCAACTCTCCGCGAGCTCTTTGGGTTGAGGCCGGGGAGCAGTACGTCGCCATTCGTTCATCTCCGTTGGGTCCAAATGTGTCAACGAAGGGAGCCATTTCCGGGATTTGCAAAGGAGCCGAGCAAAGGCTGCTATAGTTAACACACAAAAAAAAAACCGTCGCAAGCACCTTTGGGCCCCAAGCGTACCACGTTGGAAAACCACATTGGATCCGGGGTGTGGCGTTTTTTGAAAAGAAGGAAACTAAGCCACGGATCCTAATTACAGCAAACTGCCACAAACTTCAACGACCCCTATTCGGCATGAGGTGCGTTTCCGGTCACAGGAAAGCTGCGCGCGGCTTTTGGGCTTGCGCCGGGAGACGAGTCTGAGGTGAATGGCCGTCGGATGGTACCGCTGGCCGCCCAAGCGGCAGATGCGACTCGGGACATCGATTTTGATGGACGTCTCTTCGGAAGCACCGGATGGACCATTCGGCTTCTTGGTTGGAAACGGTTCGGCTGTGCTCTGTCCCCTGGCGAGTTGGCAATACTGCGCGAGCGCTCGAATTCGCAGCTCCGAAGACGTCCGCCGACTGTCAGAGAGCGAGCCGAAGTCGTTTTTGCAAGGGCGAAAACAGGGTTTTGCATATTTCCATTTCCTAAACACATCGCACCAAAAGCCATCACTTCAATTGGCCTAAATTGCAATTGCTGAAACGCCAAAAATAGCTGACAGGCTGACACGCTCACAAGTTCCAAGGTGCACAGCGAGCGCGGAGGTCATTTCTCATGACGGGTCGCAGGTGAAACGTTCCAAAGGCTTTGCCTTTGCACTGCTACGCAATTTCACGCAGCCCGATGCAAACATTTCGATGGGTCAACTGGTAACTAAGTGACACAAGTGCTTTGCTGACTTCATCGCAACCTCCTAAAGCTTCTGCATACGTTACATAAATTCATAAATGCAGTGGGAGATAAGAAATCCTCAAACAAGGACCCTTAATCACGGATGCCCGGTAGTCTCAGGAGAGCTGGTAGTAATGGGCGCAGAAAGCTTGCCAACTACATCCAACCGTGTTCAAACAGGCTCACTGTGGCTCACGTGACCCGGGCACTGGTGCCAGCTAGCGCTTTGCCGCGTTCCCGGATAAGTCATCAAATGCGGCTCCCACAACCGTCAGTGGTCGGCAAACACCAGGTGCAGGGGTGACTTGTATTTGAGAATATTTGAAAAGTCTCTCACTTCCTGAGTGGGATGGCAAAAAAATAAATAAAACAAACTGTTGCCAAAAAATTGCCCAGGAACTCAGGGAATGAGGTCTGAGACAATGCAACTTGCTCAGAAGGCTGGCAACAACCGCAGAGGCTCACCAGCTCACAATAGCCATCACTCATCCTGCGGGGTCAAACCTGCCGCCAGATCAGAAGAGGATACTATCCCTGATATCGTAGCACTTTGGGCAACTGTGAAACCTGCTTGAGCATTGTTGAAAATTGTTGCCCCGAAATCTGTGAGAAGCTGAAGTGTTGATTCCCATAAAAGCTCTGTCCGGTTCGCCCAACCATGTCAAATGGCTCAAGTACAAAGCACACACAGCACCACAAAACCGAGTGAAGTGCCGTAAACCAGGGATTTCAACTTGTTCCTCTGCTTGCAAAGTCCTAGTACTGCAGTGTACTTGACTCCAGCAAGTGAGCCGTGCCTCTGCAGTTCAAGGAATTTGGGTTGTCGAAATTATGCTGCCCCTTGGACCGCGCCTTGTGCCACCTTCCGCCTTCCGGGGATGCCCGTTTGCCCAAACACAGGGACTTGGTTGGGGGTGGGTAAATAAAATGTCAAATCAACATAAGAGACACCATGGTTCACTTCACGGTGATCATACCTTGTTTGAGCACGTTGTTTGACCATGCATGGGTTGTTGCTATCAAGCCCACATCTGACTCTAGGACTTCTATCCTGTTTGCCTCGATTGGTCTTCATAAAGGGTACCCTTTATTTTGGTAATTAAAGGGCCTCCTTGTTGCCTGTGTCATCGTGATGCCAACCCAAACGTGGCACCATCTAGTTGGAACCTCGTTGTAAATGGCATGGTCAAGTATTTGGGGTTGCCTTCAAAGGGAAACCCTGAAATGCATTAACCAGACACCTGGCGAGGGGAAAGAAGACCGCTGGAAAACTCGAATTCCCGACAAAAAAAACACTTCTGGGGCAACAACAACGATTCACAAACAGTAGTAGCGGATTCCCGGCCCCAGTTTCATTTTAGGGGGTCTGGGCAATTTAAGTTGTGTTCACAAACAAAACTCAAGAAAACCGTTTCTCCATGTGCTTCCATGTGCCTCGTTTTGCTGGAACTCTGAGTCTCCGGCCCCCGACCTCGCTTGGGTTCGAACCGAGAACGGTTATCCCAACCCGGGTCCCATTGCTGGAAGGTTTTCCGCAACCTAGGTTTACCCCGCTAGAACATGAGGTGCTTGACGCTTGCCCTAAATCTATACCGTCATTTGCGTCCATGGCAGGACTAAAGAGGTTGACCTTTTGGGTTGCCTCAAATCAGCCTGGTCAAAACACCTATGGACTTTCGGTTCTAACATGGCAACGGCATTTTGTTGGGCCGCCACATGACACCAGGCAGTACCACCCGCCAAAACGGCCTCTGGTCAATTCGTTCGTGGGAAGCACCAACTTCACCCCCATCCTCCCACCAATTAACATGACAGCTACCTCAAGGACCCTCAAAGACTCTTCAAGGGTTGCGGGCAGGATAGAAATGAAACACAACCAAACTACACGAATTTGTATACTACGTACTTGTGTAGATATATACATGCGTAAATTCATCATGCCAAACAATAATACAAAGCAAAATGCTAAATACGTGCTCAGAGCTTGTGCAAACGGAATCAACACGCACTTCTCCAAAAATGTGTTCATCCTCGATGTAGCATCTGCGCATGTCAAGAACACGAATACCCTCTGCAAAAACAAAACAGCCAAATCTAAAAAGAGAACGATAGCACGATGACCAACTATGTGCAAGAGCCAGGGGAGTGCCAGTGCAAGCGTCTGAGCGAAATGGCTGCTGCAACTCTGGCAAGTGTCTAATCAGCGACATGACCACTCTGAAGCTTGTGCTCCCTCAGACATACATGGGCTTCTCCCAGAACGCGAATGGAAACTGAATTGAGCTGCCCCCGAAACCCTCTGACCTTTGGTTCTACATGGCTATAGAGGCATTTTGTTGGGCCTTCTTGACTATCTTTATGAAACCAGAGAGTAGACTCATCTACTTCGATAGCCCCTTGAAAGGATCGGTTTCGGGCTCTGTTCAATTATAAGTCTTTAGCCCTGCGGGCTTCCATGCCCCAAAAGTGCGAGAATTGGCGCAAAAAACGGTGGGAAATCCACGTGGCTTTGGGATGCAAAGGCGTCTCCAACTCCGCACTGACAAAAGTCCGACTATGAATCAGTCACCAAACTGAAGTGTAATAGAAACATTCACCAACCTATTACACTACTATGATGCTACCCACAAATCACCAACCAAAAAAAGAACAAAACAAAAAACACCAGAAGCTTTCAGAAGGGCTCCAAGGTCGCTAACCAATAAATTATCCTCTGGCACGTCGACAACACGTGCGTATCATGGCTTTCTCCAGGGGGCAATAGTCGCCTAATGGGAACTCAAACTCATGCACTTTGCATGAAGAGTTGCTTCGGACAAAACTCATATTGGACTGCGCGCATGTCGCTGTTTTCGTGGAACTCTCGTAAGGTCCTTACAAACCTCTAAGGGACGCGACCGGATCGGCGAGACATAAGCTGCCGGCTCTGGCAGTGTCGTCAGCCGTGGCCCACCTGGGCACGGGAAGGCGTCCCAAGCTGGGTGTGGCTCAAAATTAAATTGGAGGGGCTACGCGGTTTTGGTCCATGTTTCCACTTACCAGGGTTCCATTGGTGGTACCGGTTTTTTGAGCCACGGCCAGCTGGGAATTAATTGCATTGTTTTGTAGGAAGGTACCCGCCTTGTTTGGTCGTACAAGGCCACAAACAATATCTGCTTTGGGAGCTACGTATCCAATTTGGAGACAACGCCACAGCAAAATGTAAAAAAGGGAACTAAAACACTTGCCAAGGACAGAGAGACGGATGGTTTGCTTCATCCTTGCCAAAATGTGTAGTCTGCTAGCTGGGGACCAAAGTTTCTGCCCAAGTGCGGTACTCCTTGAATATGCATAATATGTGAATGTATATGTATAGCTTGACCGGAGGTCCACAGGCAAGCCTACAATGAACAAGCTGTTTGGGCCCTCACTTTTTTGTTGCTGCCTCCAGCAGTGTACATGCACCGCATGAGTATTGCACCCGCGTGCTGATAAGGCACAGTGCAGTGCTCCCATTCGACGTCGGACAAATGGAGGTGGAAAGTTGGCTAGGGAAACTAAGGAAAAACTAAAGGAAACAAGTCACCCTCCTTTCAGTGATAGGTTAAACGGAAACATTTGAGTTGACTTTGATAACCCCAAAGAGCAGTCAAACGACGTGGTCCGTGCGTGTGCTATGGGATATGTCTTCCATCAAACTCACCCTGAGCTAAGTTAAAACGTAAAACCCAAGAAACCAACAATTTTCATGGAAACCGTGGGAACCCCCCCACGGGCAAGGCCAAGCAAATGACCCATTTGCCGGTTGCCTTGGTTTGATGAGTCGCGCACCTGAGGCCCCGGCTGGAGCAATACGCCAGGCGCCGCAACATCCGGGTGTCCGAGAAGTAGGAGTACCTCCAGAATCAGTTTGGACGGTCGGGGTTCCTACTGTGGATGGACGAGATCCTGCACCGCTTTGACACATTGGGAAACCATTTTTCGTTGGTATTTACAGGAGAATCATCATTCTATGGTTTCTCGGGTGGTGCAGGATTTCGTCCACCACAGTATATATGTACCACACCAGTTTGGGGGGGGGGGGGTAAGTTTCTCAGCTTCCTTGTTGGCTTGGTTCAGATCGTGGGGTTTCCCATTTCCCCCTGAAACGAAGAAATCTCACAAAATCCAAACCCAGGGAGTCCAAAGGCCTGAGTTACGGAGGCCGTTTAAACACGGAGGTTTTTCCCGGCCTTTTTACGGGGTGTTTACGGCCGTTGACAAAAGGCCTAAGTTTCTCAGGCCGAGGAAGCTTTGGGAAACCACCAATTGGTCTGGGTGCTCTGGGGTTGAGCCGTGGGGGCTGAACAAATGGTAAAGTGCTCAGTGCTCATCCTCTTTTCGTTTGCCTGTGGTTACAAACAAAAAGCATGTGCTATTCGGCACCCGCAATTTCAATTGACTCCTTGGTGGACATTTTTTTACATCAGGGTTTATGCGCACTAACTGTTTTGGAGGGTTCCACTTTCAACTTCATGGCCGCATCTGGTAGGGATCTTACCAGTGACACAACGTCCCCAAAGGATGAATCAGGGTTGTCCATAGATTTTGGACAGCTAGAGCTGTGTCTGGACATTTTGGGGCTGCCACTTGTTTATGGCAGTCTTCCCTTTCATCTCCCTTCAAAGCAACTCCCAACAAAAAACCACCAAACACCAGCCACAACAATCAAAACCAACCACCAAAACCAACCAAACAACAGGCACCAAATTCCCCCCCCCCCCAAAAGAAAAGCAAACACCAAAAAAAAAAACGCTGAAGAAACCAACGTCCTCCACAGACCATCCTATCCTGTGGCTCCGGGCGCGTGCACCGGCGCCTCCGGCATCTTCACTGCAGGGTCCACGTCCATCTGAGTCGAGTCAAGTCATTTTGCTTCTTGACACAAATGATCTGCGAGCAATGAAAATTGACACCAATGACTCATGACACCAATGACTCATTGACTCATTTTGTTTCTTGACACCAATGATCTGCGGGCAATGAACATTGACACCAATGACAAATGACACCATTGACTCATTGCCTCATTTTGCTTCTTGACACCAATGATCTGCGGGCAATGACAGTTGACACCAATGACTCATGACACCAATGACTCATTGACACAAATGATTTTGTTTCTTGACACCAATGATCTGCGGGCAATGAAACTCATTTTGTTTCTTGACACCAATGATCTGCGGGCAATGAAAATTGACACCAATGACTCATGCCACCATTCACTCATTGACTCATTTTGCTTCTTGACACTAATGATCTGCGAGCAATGAAAATTGACACCAATGACTCATGACACCAATGACTCATTGACTCATTCTGCTTCTTGACGCCAATGATCTGCGGCCAATGAAAATTGACACCAATGACAAATGACACCATTGACTCATTGACTCATTTTGTTTCTTGACACCATGATCTGCGGGCAATGACAGTTGACACCAATGACTCATGACACCAATGACTCATTGACACAAATGATTTTGTTTCTTGACACCCATGATCCGCGAGCAATGAAACCCAAGTTGGGGTTCAAGGAAAAACACAACAACCAAGGTTCAGGTGCCAGTTAGAACCCAGAAATTCAAGGTGATCACCTTGAGTTTTGAGTCTGGTTGAACGTGTTGTGCAAACCCCTGCGTTTCACGACCAAGGTTCAGTTGCCCCAAATGGGACCCAGAAATACAGGATCCTCACTTTTTGGTTGCCAAAAAAAGAATGGTTAAACCGAAAGGTCAAGATGTCGATTCGCTTTGGGCAATTGAGGAAGAAAACCCATTGGTTTTTGGGAAAACAATTGGGCCATCCCGGCCTTTTGAGCAAACCTCCCGTGCAAACCAGGGGAGATGCTTCCGATTCTGTGTGGGGAAGAGGGGGGGGGGGGTAAGACGGGTAAGAGACAAACCCGGTGGGCCCCCCAAACAGGTTGAAAGGGAAGATGAAGGAAAACCAAAAGGGACAAACAGGGATCCTTACATTATACACCTGAACATTGCCTTGTAGATGGTGGTTTCCCTTTCTTTTGGTGCAAAAAAAGGCAACATGCTTCAAATCGTTGCAAAATGAATTTCTTTTGAGGAGCCAAAAGGGACAAGCCGCGGAGATAAGCTGTCGCCAATGGAATTGCAGCAGCCCAAAAGTTCAAATGGGTGTGGCTCAAAATGAAACGATCGGAGGGGCAAACCGCAGGTCTTGGTCCATGTTTCCACTTGCCGATCGGGATCCATTTTGGAATTCCGGTTTTTTGACCCACAGCCAAATCTGAACATTCCAAAGCAATAGGGGGCTGCCAGAGACTGACCCCCAGAGCGGGAGCAGTTTCGAGCACCAGAGCACCAAGTCCCTGGTTAAAGCAAAAAAAACGTGGCTATGGTGCCAAAAAAAGAGAGAATATGGGTTGGACCCCCCAAAAATTGAACCCTTTAAGGCGGAACCCTAGATAAAACAAAGGTTGGACTCCCCTTTTGCCTTTTGGCTTCCCTCTAAAACCATCAAGGGGCATCAAATGAAAAAAGACGAGCCACCCTCAGCAGCTTTGTGCCAACCCTTGGTTTGGGCTGAGCGGAGCACCTTGCAGCACCCCAACTAACAATGAACCGCACCCCCCCTCCACAAAAAGAGAGCAACAAACAAACAAACCAACCAAACAAACAAACAAACAAACAAACAAACAAACAAACAAACAAACAAAAACACAGACACAGACACAGACACAGAGACACAGAGACACAGAGACACAGAGACACAGAGACACAGAGACACAGAGACACAGAGACACAGAGACACACAGACACACAGACACAGAGACACAGAGACACAGAGACACAGAGACACAGAGACACAGACACAGAGAGACACAGAGACACACAGAGACACAGAGACACAGAGACACAGAGACACAGAGACACAGAGACACAGAGACACAGAGACACAGAGACACAGAGACACAGAGACACAGAGACACAGAGACACAGAGACACAGAGACACACACACACACACCCACGCACGCACACGCACGCACGCACGCACGCACGCACGCACGCACGCACGCACACGCACAGACGCACAGACGCACAGACGCACGCACAGACGCACAGACGCACAGACGCACAGACGCACACACGCACACGCGCACGCGCACACGCACACGCACACGCACACGCACACGCACACACACACACACAAACAAACAAACAAACACAAACACAAACACAAACACAAACACAAACACAAACACAAACACAAACAAACACACACAAACACACGCACACGCACACGCACACGCGCACACAGGCACACAGGCACACAGGCACACAGGCACACACGCACACACGCACACACAAACAAACAAACAAACAAACAAACAAACAAACAAACAAACAAGAAAACAAAAAAAACAAACAAACACAAAAACAAACAAACAAACAAACAAACAAACAAACAAACAAACAAACAAACAAACAAACAAACAAGAACACTGAGCCACTCCAAACTTGAATGAACAGAAAAACACAGATCCAACATCAGTGAGAAACCTGCGAACGAGCGCAGTCATCCTCACTCAGCGCCCAACACTGGGAGTCTGCGACTTGGCATTGGCCTCGTCTGCCTGCGTTTCGCGCTGGGCTTGAGGCTTTGTGTCATTTTTTGGGACCCCCAAACAGGGCTTGGGTTCGCCTGCACTGGCCCCCTGAAAACAACCGAAAAAAGGGGTACCAAAAAACAGAACACACCCAACTAGCATTCATTAACTCCCACCTGCAACAATCCCCGAATCACGCCAAACATGACGTGGTGTTGATTGCGTTTCAAAGCTGAACCATTTTTGAAAGGAGGGGTTCGGACCAACGATCCCGTGGCCTGCTGCCGCCATCGTTCAATGACTGCTTTGGGCGGCCTGCAATACCGAACGCCATGACTGCGGCCGAGTGAAGGTCCAAACCAATTTGTGTTTGCACCGAGACAATTACAACTCACGGGAAGTGAAGCACCTGATCAAGTAAGTAACAAAAATCCAAACCAATGGTTTGAACCGAGTACAACTCACCAGGGCACCCGTTCAAGTAAGGACACCTGGGTATGGGTCAAAACTAAACCACCAGAGGACCACAGGTTTTAGTCCTTGTTTCCATTTACCAGGGTGCCATTTTGGGGTTGCCCTATTTTTGACTCACAGCCACCTCATGAATTAGAGTGCAGGATCCACAAGAGCCAACGAAGCCAGGACACCCCTCGCTCGCTACTCGCTGGGGCACCGGCTTGGGCTGAACGTTCCTGCTAAGTGACAAACTGGACAAGCGCTTCTCCGGCGATATCCTGGCCGGCTTGCGCCTTGCAAAACCTCGACCCAGATAAAAAAAAAAAGGGGGCCCCCACCACCAAAAACCGCGTCACCCCCTTCTGGAAGCCGAGCAACCGCAGGGTCACAAGATTTGACATTAAACAAGGCCAACCAGTAAGGACGGGCCATATCCCTTTTTCTCATCTAGCAGAACCCAGTTCCATGATACACATGGCTTGCACTGACTTGAGCGAATTAGCCTTTTCCTGCATCTTCAAGCAGGTCAGCAAATCCGCCCGCTCATGGCGAGTGAGTGGCGCGCTTTCCCACTCACTAGCTAGGGAAACCAAAGATACGTACAGCAAAGGAAAGCTGCCGCAAAAGTCACCGACCTTGCGGCACGTCAAGCCCAGCCGGAGAGTAGTCGACAAGATGCACATGGCTGTACACGGATGCAACGCCTTTACACTTAAGAGTGCATGCCACACTTCAGAGAAGACAGCCGTAGGCTCATCCCACGTCAAGACGCCCAAGGTTTTCGCGCCGGCGCTCACACGAGCTGGCGGGCACTGCGGCAACCTCTTTCCGTAGGCGAAGCTTGCCACATCCGAGCAGGAGGGCTCGCACCTGGGAACGCGCACGAGCCACGCAAACACACACGCACACGCACACGCACACGAACACGCCCAAGCACAAGAGTACAAGCGCCCGCGCCCGCGCGCGCGCACATGCACCGCACACGCACACGCACGCGCACGCGCACACGAACAGGCACAGGCACAGGCACAGGCACAGGCGCAGGCGCCCGCGCACGCGCACGCGCGCGTGCACGCACGCACGCAACAAACGCACGCACGCACGCACGCACGCACGCACGCACCCACACGCACGCACGCACCCACACGCACGCACGCACGCACGCACGCGCGCACGCGCACACATGCGCACACTTGCGCACACGCGCTACGAAAGTATTAATGAGCTTGCTAAGCCGCTGAGAGCTAGCTGGAGCTGGGGGACATTTCCTCGGAGTGCTCGGCACTGGCGAGTGCTTCCTCGGCGTGCTCGGTGATGTGGAGCGCTTCTCTGGGGTGCTCGGAGCCGCGGGGCGTGTCCTGGGATTGCCCAGCGAAAAGTTAACTCACAGGCGTTTGTCGAATGATATTTTCACGCCCTGCCAAAGCCTGCAAGCGCAAATTGTGAAAATGTTTGTCCCGCAAAGGATCGGCGAGCAAGGCGGGTCGGATTCGTCAGCAACATCAGCTAGCGCTGCCACCAGAGGACATGGTGCATCTGCAGCTTTCCTGAGATGTTAGTCTTGGTTTTGGAAACGTCTGAGATTTTGGGGCACCCATTTTAGGTTGCTGCATGAAACCAGTTTACCAGCTGAGAACATACGCGGGCCTGTGAACAACGGGTGACTCCACAATTGCCTATCAACACAAGTCGCAACGCACCGTTGGTTTCCACACACGGGTCGCAATCCGGCAATGGCAAAACGCGCGCAAGAAGGCTTGAGGTTGCGAACGCACAGCTCGTGGCGTTAGACAATTGCCTTCCTACGCAGGTCTCAAACGACACAATAGAAGATCCTTCAACAAATGGACAACAAACATTGGATAGGTATTGACGCTCGCAGCCGCATCCCGTTCAGCTTTCTGTGTTACTTGGACTGGCGCAACGTGGTTCAAGAAAATATTGCGCACCAAAGAAGAGGTTGGGGCAATCGGCAAAAGATCGTGCCTTACAGCTCCTGAGGCGCAAGGCCACGATTGAAGGCGACACATCTGAGGAGGCACCTGGATCATCTCCACAACCACGACGAACAAGGTGTTCATGGCGGGCGCTAGCATATGTCCTTGCCAGGCGGCATACAGAGTTTCTGATTGATAGCAAGGTACACAAAACCATGCTGGAAAACTTGCTAGAAGATTAGTTGGGGAGCTTGAGGCTGCCCACTGCCTTCGCGACTGTGGCCAAATCTCGCAAGCCTCTATAGCATACAAACCAGGGTCCCTCTGCCCCAATAACATCCAGCAAGAGCTTGGTTGCCAAGTCCTCAGCCTCGCGCACTTTATCCTTGAGATTCTGGCTCTGCAGAGCGACTCCGCGGAGTGGCTCACTGCTTTTCCCACCGCAGTCGAATGCCCCATCTGCATTCTTCCGCATGGTGCGGCAGTGCAAGAACTTGCCTTAGACGTTTCGAGCACGGTGGCCCTAGTTGGTGTGCTATTTCTCCTTCACTATGGCAACGTTGCAGGCCACCACTTTCAAAACACTGACAGCTTGCTATTGAACACGATAATGCCTTGGCAATTTCACAAATCAAAAGCGTGGTCGTTCTCCCAGAATTTTCGTCACGCTTCAAAACGGCCAAGGAGCAGGAAGCATTTACGCACTTGCCCCGAGCTTGCTTCGCACGCTTCGACGCAGGTTCTGCCATTGAATCCATCACCGGCGCAGACATTGGAGTGTGGCCTTCCACCTGAAAAATATGTGGCAAGTCTTGACGCGTCTGGAAAGAAGCAGTGGTAAAAGAGACCAGTTTTGCAATGTTTTGGTTTTCTACACAGTATCCCCCCTTCTTCCTTTGGTGGTCTTCAAGCCAGGGAATGCGCCAACATGACTCTCAAACTTCAGCTTTGCAACAAGAGTGTGATACATATGGCAGTCGAGCTCTCTCCCTTCACGCCGCTGCAACATTTTCAGCGGATACTGGCCCAAAGGCCAGGCAACCGCCCAAGTTGTGTCATTGGGCACTCTTGCAACGCTTCGGGGCGGATGCAAATGGAAGGCAACAGCTACTTGAAACAAGAGTAGTTCAACAGCCCGTCGCCTACAGAGCCGAAAAAAAGCACCTGGAGCGCACGAACGCGCCCTTGAAGGCCTTGCTCTCAGTGCATTCAACGCCAGCACTCCCGTGTGCAAACACGAATGCTACCGTAGAATCATTGGCTTCTAGTGGCAGGCTGTTACAAACTGGCAAACTGGCACACAAAGAGCTGCTGGCCTTCACAGGCCGTTACATCAGCAAAAGTCAATCTGATGGTCAGGGCCTGCTGTCGCTACACGCAAAATTGCACTCGAAAGCCGGCGAAGGTACAAATGAGGCCATAGGCCAATCAGCATCACAGTCGCTTTGCAACGAGCAAAGCTTGAAATCTGAATGCTAGTAGTCACACAGAACATCTCTCAAGCTCAAGCTAGACGGAAAGGCCCGCCCTTCATGACCTGCAGCGCTGCGCAGGCTTGCAATATCAAACTGTTGCCAAGCATATTGAGACTCCGGCCAAGTTAGCAGCACTCACCAATGCCACACCACACGGAATGAACTGCCCGCTCTGCACTTTCCAGACGGAGCACAGCTTGCTCTTCTTCAGGGTCAAGTTGTTGACCTGCACAGCGCTGCCCAAACACCATGCCTTCTCGTGCTCCGCTGGAGCGATCCTTTGAACGTGCTTACTAACTACTACGTTCGAGCTTGGAGCGCAAGGCCCAAGTTACAAAGCAACAAAATCACACCAAACACGTTGTCAGCCCCAACCAATGTTTGCAACAAAACAAAAATTCGCCATCTGAAGATTCTGCAGCGTATGAAGGCGTACCCCAAAAAACGAAAAAAAGAAACAGACCTTGGCTGCTTTCGAGGCCGCCTAATCGCTTCTTTCTTATAGTGCAGATCCCCCTAATCATAAACTGTTTCCCACAATTCTGAAAATAACAACACTAGGCTACTTGTAAACGCCATTCTCCTCCCCATTCTCAAATCCAGCCGTGTTGGGGGACCATTTTTTACGTTTGAATATTTATTCAACATCGAAAGGGCTGCGGTTTCCCTTGCCACAGCATTTGGTGACTTTTTGCAGCTTGGAAAGGGGGGGTGCCCCAGATTCTTCCCCAGCATTCCAAAACACGCAACACACAACACAACACACGACAATGAGAACGACAACGAGCTGAACAGGGGGCCCCTATGTGTTTCGCCGGAAACATTTGTTTAATCTGGGGGGGGGTCGTCCTTTGTCAGTCATTGCGGGATTTTGCGGAAATCGCCACCCTCGTAGCAAGTAAAACACACACACCAACCGAAAAACGTTCAGTTCACCACCACCACCACCACCACCACAACAACAACAACAACAACAACAACAACAACAACACCAGCAAGAACAAGCAGGAAGGCGGACAAGCCAGGAAGGCGGGCCCCCGTGGCCCCCACCTGAGGAAACCACGGGGGAAGCGGGGGCGAGGCGGGCCCCCCAGCAGCGAAGCGCGCAGCCAGGGGGACGGGGACAACAACAACAACAACAACAACAACAACAACAACAACAACAACAACGACAACGACAACGACAACAACGACAACGACAACGACAACGACAACGACAACGACAACGACAACAACAACAACAACAACAACAACAACAACAACAACAACAACAACAACAACAACAACAACAACAACAACAACAACAACAACAACAACAACAACAACAACAACAACAACAACAACAACAACAACAACAACAACAACAACAACAACAACAACAAAACAACAACAACAACAACAACAACAACAACAACAACAACAACAACAACAACAACAACAACAACAACAACAACAACAACAACAACAACAACAACAACAACAACAACAACAACAACAACAACAACAACAACAACAACAACAACAACAACAACAACAACAACAACAACAACAACAACAACAACAACAACAACAACAACAACAACAACAACCACACCAACACCAACACACCACCACCACCAACAACAACAACAACAACAACAACAACAACAACAGCAACAGCAACAGCAACAGCAACAGCAACAGCAAGAGCAAGAGCAAGAGCAAGAACAACAACAACCACAACCACAACCACAACCACAACCACCCACAACCACAACCACAACAACAACAGCCCCATGAGACACACACACGCATCATTTACACAACACACGCCCACATACATACACACTCTGTTCCAAGCACAGACGCACGCAGTTGACTCGTCCA